TCAAACAAATCATAAAAGTCCAGAGCAAGCTGCACATCAAGATACAAGCAATTGGAAAAAAATTAGAAACAGAACAACTCATCTCAGTCTATACTGATGGAAGTGTCAAGACAGACAAATAACAGAGGATAGGGATAGGGATAATCTTCATTATACAAGACAATACACAATTAGAGCTCAATGCAACCTTCACAGGTCAGGCATCAGTATATAGATCTGAAATCCTGGCAGTCACTATCACCTGCATTGTAGCTGGAAAAGGTAAAATAATTAGAATACATACTGACTCACAAAATCTTATAAGGGACTATCACAAGCTCACAACTAATTAGAAACCTGCCAAACATTAAGAAAAGAGGATGTTATTCAACTTTCTTAAAATAATAAATACCTTTCAACAAAAACTTATCTGGCACAAAATATCCAAGAAAGATAACAACCCACTTCACAAAAGAGCTAATGAACTGGCATACCAGGTAGCATCAAGTAAAGACAAAAGAAACTGCAATACAACTCTCCACTTATGCCTAGAATCCAATTACCTACAACCTTTCTTCAACGGCAACATAGAAATTACTAAAAATATCCGAAATGCAATCCAGCAGATTCATCAAGCACACCTTACAATTGATTGGAAACACCTTAACAGAAATACACCTTCCAAGCCAACTATAAAAGAGTAGACACGAAAACCAGCTTCGCACTCCTCTATCCAACAAAACTCATCACCCACAAATGGACAAATGGGACTTTCAACAATGTATTTTCTCCATCAAACTATGGATCCAAGAGCTCCCAACAATGGACAAACTCTACAAAAGACACTTTGAAACATACAAAATGAGCAGGTGCCACAGTTGTGACAAGACAGAACACAATGACCATTCATTCACCTGCTCCCATTATAATATCAACATCTATGAGGAGATAAACAAAAATATCTACAGAGAACTGCACCATAGAAAAAATGAAAAATCTCACCAAATAACAATCAGTAAGGTGGAGCTTAGTACCTGGAGCTTAGTACCAGAAACTTAGCCACGCTAATCTTCAAAGGAAGAATCAGCAAAACTCTAAACAACCTAATTATAGAAACAATCGGAACAATAAGCTAGCTGACACCCTGAAAAGCATCACGCAATACAACTAGATTCCTTACCTTCAACATCTGGCTCGACAGATGCAGAAGAATGCTACAATGGAAAAAAGAATATAGAATAAACAAGGCATTCATTAAAAAAAAGAGAAAAGAAAACAACAGAGAACACTCAACAATGAAAGAACAACAACTAATAGGTCACAACAAGCAAACACACAGGATATAATAGGCAACATCCTAAAAGAAACACAATATTTTCCACATTCTTCATATTAGTGCTAATGGAGTCTAGGCACGTTAGTTCCTACTTAGGACAACAAGCCATAAGGGACATTTCCAAAAGTCAATTAGCTTTTTAATAGGTTAGTGTAGAAACAATATATAGAAAAAGAGTTAACAGTTCTAGTCAGCTTTAATTCAAGTAATATGTACTACATTAAAATTAATAAAGTAGGCCTGTTGCACTATTATTAGTCCCCAATAAGGACAAAATACACAAGTGTTCAAAAGTAGAGCCCTGCTATTGATGGCAGCAAATATCTATAAGACTAGATAATAATTGATTTTATTGTAATAGTATAAATTATACACATGGAAAAAATGTCTATAATATAACTTTTACTTGATAAAGTAATATGTATTTATATATAAATTCAATAAAATAGACAATGTTACATATTTTTTTTAAAAAAAAGTATAATATAGTATGTAACCTTGAATTGTAATATAATATAACAAATAATAATATAATATTGTATGCAGTTCTTAATTGTATTAAAACAATATGAATAATTTTATTTAAATATCCTTTTATTAATTTAATATTTTTTTATTGATATACTAGAATATTTTAATAAAAAAAACTAACCAGATGTATTTTTTATGGAAAACAGTTATCTTTATATTTGCAACCTTTATAATCTTTCCTGCTATCGCAAACTTTCTTTATATTAACAATATTCGAAATAACAATAGTTTATTCAATTACACTTGGTATTAAATGTTCAATCACTATTATAACAACTGAATTGATTAGAAAAAGATCATATATTATATTTTTAAAATATTAATATCTGAAGTTATATGAATATCAATACTAAAAGTTGAATTGCTATCTAAAGCTTGAATTAAGAAGAATATTAAAAAAAGTTATAAATATATTTTTATTGCATTTTCAGATTCTCATACATTTAAACCACTATTTATTTAGTATTGAATTGCATTAACTTCATCTAAAATAATTACAATCAGTTGAACTGAGAATTCTATACAAGAGAAACTTTTAACTTGAGCTATTATAATATTCCACTTATTTACAGATAAGCTTTGTTTATCTTGATAATTACAGATTCTGAGTTTAGATAATTTAAGATCATTAATTGTATCTATTGATTTATTAATAAGAGTTTTTCGATAAGAAATCCAGAAGACACAAGGCATATTAGCTTTATTCTTAACTAAATAATTGAGATATTTTCTTAGACCTTTGTTTTTTCTGTCATTATAGGAGAGCATACTGGGTTTTTTGTTCAAGAAATTGGAATAAGCTTCTAGAAAATCTTCCATTTCCTTTATATTAATAACTTCTTCAGATAATTCAAGAAGAAAATGAGAATTTCATCTAATTTCAATTTAGGTTTCACTTTTGATTCTACTTTATCTGATACCTTATCAAAGCTAAGGCCCTTGTGATCTGGTTTGTACTGCTTTTGCCAGTAATACTTGAGTATAAAATAATCATTTTTTTGAATAAATATATAGAGTTGATCTTTTTTATATTTAATATTACATACTGTATAGAACATTCCTTAATACATTGCGCTTGAAAATTGATAAATTCTTTCTCAATTTTTCCAATTTGGAGTCATTTATATTTTTCAATAACTAAATTAGCATCTTTAACCAAAGCTTTTTTATCATTAATGGGTTGGAATTCTTCTTTTATTGACTCCTCAGAAGAAAAAGTTCGTGGCCAGAGCATAGAACAATTCTCTTTAGGCTGGATCAAATAATCATCTAGATTTTTAAATCCATTTTTAATTGAAGAAATAGCCAGTCTTTTTATATAACCTTTCTTTACTGATCCAAGAAGCCAAAGATTTAAATGTGTTTTGAAAAGAGCAATATCATAAATTTCAAATAAGATTCACCAACAAATTCTATAACTTTTTCAGTAAATCCCTTAAGTTCTCTAGAATCTATAGATCGGATATGAGAATAAATAATATATTAACTATATTCTTAGCATTTGATAAACTAGCTAAAGCAAAAGAATTTAAGAAAGGCATACAATTGGGAATAAGGTTTAATTTAATGCATCTGCACAAGTGACTAAAATTTGTAATAACAAATTTTCTTGTATAATTTTTTTATTATCTATGGAGGGTACTTTAGAATTTGTAGAATCAGGATTTTGCCTTGCATCAAAGTCAATTATCAAGTGAAGAGGCTGGTTACAATCAATATATTTATGAGTATCAGTTATTATATAAACTTTAGAGAAATGATTAACCAATATAAACTTTTTCTTTATTTGAATTATATATGGAGAATAAATCTTTTTGTGAAGGTATGTGTCTAAAAGTGTAATATCATTTCTATCAAGAGAGTTAGTATAACCATTAAATGTGAATCAGTATTTATAAAATGTATGTTCTTTATAGCCAGGTTTATAATCAAGTTCTGTTAAACCTATAAAAAGTTATTTTGCTTCATTATATTTGATTGCTGTTGTAATGATTCACAAAGACATTTTTTTGCTTCCCTAGATAAACTCATTTTATTGATTTCTATGTATTATTTATATATATGAATACATGTTGTTTGATCTGACAACAAGTATATATTTTTGAAATTATAATAATTGATAAATAAATCTTTAAAATAAAATTAATTATTCTGAAATATGATTTTTGGTCTTGGATTGGCCATCACTTTTGTCAAGAAAAAATATAAATTTGATTGAAGTAATAATCACGATGATATTATACTATAGCTCATATATTCATAGAACTGGAAAAATCTGTAGTTGACATAGTAAATCACAAAGATATTATATTCATTGTAATTCTCCAATACCTACTCCTTGTAGAGATTGTGGCGAGCCAAATAGGTCTAAATATAATGTATGCAATAAAGATGTGGGAAAATATAAAAGTAAAGATTCTATGCATAAAGTATAATCATATACCTTGCATATGTGTATATTGATTATTTTTTTCAGGGCCTCTTATTATAGAACAATAGCACTTACATGCCTAAGTAATAACATATCCTCTTTGATCCCATTGACATTTTTAGTAATTTATTACGTAAAGCTATGAATTCCAAGACTTTATTTTGGGAGAAGTAACACTTCGTACCTGATTGATCTCGTATCTTATTCATATCCATTTTCTGATAAAATTGTAATAATCATGACTTATTCAATTTTTTTTAAATAAATACTAGAGATTCTGACTGAGATAATTAATTTTGATTTGAAAAAATAAGTAGGTTAATGTATAATCCCAATCTACTTATTGATATATATATTATTTACATACATATCATGACAACTATCCGAAAAACTAGAAAACCCAAAACCAATAGCTTTAATTCCATTTTGGATCAGATCCTCAATTAATATAACCTATCAGCTAAATCAAACCCGCTTAAATTACGTGCTCATGCCAATGAGCTTGATACTATGCTACCAGATTGAAAGGCTCGTAAAGATATAAAAGAGGCTCTTCGTTGGTGCCTATTTAAAAACAATCAAATAGAAGCTCTTGTACCGGACAAAAGAGAAAAAAAACTTACTATCAAGGAAAAAGCTCAATATTGTGCAAAAACTAAAGATGTGTGGGATATTTGGTTACATGCTTTAGACTTAACTATTCCAAAAAATAATACAGATGAGATGATTGTGGCGGTTAGTTTCTGTCTTTCGCAATTTTGTAAAGAATTAGCAGAAGCTGGAGTTGATCCTGAGCAAATTGATACTTATACCAAATTACCAGATATTACGATAGCTTCTAACAAAATTCAGAAGAGGAAGCTTGAATGGGGATTAATCAGTCGACCTAAAATACCTAAATACTTCTCCTTAGAAGAGGAGCTTAGAAGACTTCAGAATATCTGTACCACTGAGACCCCTACTCTACAAAATCTTGCAGATATGATCATGATGTTAAGCATGAGACCCGCTGAAGTAACTACTCTTCGCATTATCCATTATGAGCCTGATGAATCAAATCCTCTGGAATGGTATAATCCCAATTACTCTTGGTATTGTACTGGGTATATTAAAAATAAAGGAGAAGCAAAAAATAATTCTGAACCTCGACCGTTTCTA